GGGGGGGGGGGGGGGGGGGGTGGGGGGGGGGGGGGGGGGGGGGGGTAAAAGGGATGTTCTCACTGATGATGCACTTAAGTGAAATGGAGGGCAGAGCAGCCATTAAATATGTAAGACGTCTTTCCTCGTCAACATCTGTTTTGAGCTTGTAAAACGACAGAGAACACAACTGTCATCGCAGATGAGATGCGGGGAAAAATATACTTCCTGTTTGAGTTAGTTAACAGAGGAACAATGAAAAATCATGTCACACGGTAAACTATATTCGTCAAAACATGCTGAGGTTCCATTACAAACTATCATCTCTGATCGCCTTTACACACCAGAGACCAGACGTAAATACGGTAAATTCATTTCACGTTCAAAGCTTTCACAACAAGGATCCATTGTGCACAGACTTGTTTATGAGCTGGATCATTTTTTGATTAATGTTTGATTAAAGACTATTTACTGGTGACATGTCCTGAGGACCGGTCTTAAACTGGTACCAGTTCCAGTATTGTTCAGAACCGTCATTTGAACGTTAGTGTACCTTCAGTTAGCCTTATGAGCTCATGTTAGACAGCTGATTCGACTCCAACAGAAGAGGAAGAGTCGACTTTCTACTGAGAAAGTAAAATACAGATTTATACGTCCGTGTGCTGAATGTCCCAACTCTGAGTTTTGTTTTCCTTTAAAAATCACAGAAACGTAAGATAAATACTTGGACTGCTGGTTTACACGAGTGTGAAGGAGACGGAAGTCAGAGGAAGATAAAAGGAACAAAAACAGGAGCGAGTGTTTGTGCTGAGCGGCGGGAAACAGTCATTGTTGGCCATGTCCTGTAAACAAAGCGGCTTGGTATCAGAACACGGTGTAAATCTGTAACGTGTCTTACAGGACGCATTTGATCTCGGTCAGTTTGATGGCACTGGATGAAGGATGCTTATCGGGCGTAAGAAGAGTCAAGTATTGGCACGAGATCATGTTTCCTCAGAAGTGTGAGGCAAAGCAGATCATTTCAATCAGGAATTCAACAATTACAGGAAAAGTGACAATACCTATATTTATTCTTCATCTGCTAATGATACATCAACTGACTGTGGAAATCAGTTAACTGAGTGATTAATACAAGTTAAAGAAATGAACTAGTTAGTTGTCGGCATATTTGGACCACAGATTCTTACTTATCAGCCGACACACACATTACGTCACGCTCCACGGCCCACTTGTTTATCATCATCTTCAAACTAGGGTGAGTCTAGTTAACCGTAGAACATATTTTGAATACTATCGTCTTCAGAAACTAAGCAAGGCTCAAACCGAGGCTTCGATGGATCGTTTCCTGCCCTGTAGCGATACTGAAATACTTGTCGCACCAACAGAATGAACACAGGTGGATCAGCAGCTTTAGTTAAAGGCTTGTCAGTACAACAGACATTCAATAAGAGCTCTTGACTCTACCGTTTCCTTGAGATATCCTGACGGATCACAAGCCGTGTCTGTTGATGTATTGTCCGGTTTCTTGAAGGGACACTTTGCCGATTTTCAAGCGCTTTGTATTGATAAAATGTGCTTTGGGTGGTGTTTTCAAGTGAACGATGTTCTTCCTGCAGTTACACATATCATTTGCATCATTTGCACACACGCCACCCTCACTGCAGCAATACAGAGGTGTGTATAAGGACACCGTTTGAGGGCCACTGCTGCGATGTCAAAGGCTGTCTGAATGTGAAGTATGCATCAAGCCTCTAAACACTGGAGGTCAGACACTGGGTAGTTTTTCTCAAAGTGTGAATATGTTGTTAGAGCAACTGATAGAAAATCCTTATTTTACTCATTTTAAAACCATTTGACGACTATATTTTAAACTCTATATAGACCTGGTGTCTGCACTGGAGCTTCTTCTCAGCCATTGGCAAAAAGCAATCTACAAACCAATATTCAGGTATTACAACGAGCTCATCCTCATCTCAGAAACTCTGGCTCTGTATAAAAAGCAGAGTTTATGCTTTGAACGGCTCACTAATTGATCAGGTGACGTCCTGCAAATACCTCGGTCTACGGATAAATGTACAAACACAAATCCTGTTTCTCTCGTGCAACCAGGAAACAGTTGATTCAGTCAGTGATCAGCCAGCACTGGACTGTGTTTGTATGCCGTGCATTTCTTTATTCCCGGTATGACATAGTGAGCAGTGATTTAAATGTTGGGGCCTGTAAAGAAACTTGAAATCCACCACAGGACAGAGAATGTGTTACATGACTGCGCCACAACAAACCCTCCGAACATCCATTACGGAGGAATCCCCATCGTCTGCTCTCTCGTTCTCTACTAAAACGAATCGCATCATTTATTCATGAAAACCAGAGTAAATAGAATCACATCTCTCTGTAGCTTCCGCTCGTTCTCTCGCTGCACAATAAGGAACTCTTGGAAAAGTCAGATTCTGCGCGTTCTGTGTTATGCTGTCAGTCGGTAAATCATTCATGGTTCTACACTTTGTGAAACCAGTATATATAGAAGAGATGCATCCTGGTGAAAATGAGTGTTTGTGCTTCTTTTTCATTTTAAAGAAAAGATGCAAATATCCAGGAGTTTCCTTCAATTGATTATTTGAAGGATCAGCAAGTATTAATCAGTTAATAGTTAAAAACGGTGCCCGTTTATCCATAACAGCATTTTAAGCTTCTGCTGCAATCACCAAAAACCTCACCTACAATCACAGAGCTATGACTCGGTTTTGTTACTGTTCAACAGCCAGACAAGTTCAAAACATCAAACGTTGCAAGTGATGCTGCACAACTGAACGACATCAACAAGACTGATCATGTCCGCAACAAAAAGCTGTGTGGAAAAAAAAAGTAGGTATTTTTTTAAATTCTTGGCTCAACTATTTTTGTCTCTTTTCATGCAAACTGGATGCAACGCTCTCCGTGAGGATGGCTGTACGGACAACTATCACCGGATCACTTTGATCCTGTAGAAAAACTAAAGGAGCAACATACAACATTCAGGGCATTAATACAGCAGCAAACGACTGTTAGCACTGTTAGCTATCATGTAGGGAGCTGCAGAGAGCTCAGCTTGCTGGTGAAACTCCAGTTTAATTTACTTAAATGATGATTAAACGTGATAATTAACTTTGGTTGTTATTTGAAAAAAAAGAACATTGAACCATGTGCTATCGTGCATATTTGTTAGAAATAATGTAATCAAACCGTTTCTTTAGGCCTGAAATTGCATTTATGAGGACATAAGTATTACATCACTACATCACAAAATCCTTTTTGTCTTTTAAATATTAAAACTAACACAAGGGGTTGAATAAATGTTTCATTTCCATCCAGTTATTTTCTGTGAAAAAGCCCTGCAGGCTTCTACAGCCGCACAGTAAATCAAATAAATGTCACGTCGGTAAACAATTGAATTACATTAGGTCGTATTAATGAGCGTCGATGTGAACGGACCCCAGTGTTCATTTATTTAGCATGTTAGCTTGTTGGTTTTTTGCTCCATCTGTGCATCAGAGCTCTGTGGAGCCAAAACTCATCGTCTCCTTCTGTCCACACTGATGTTACAGACAGGAGCTGTCGTGGTCGGCCAATTAAATTATAGAGTCCGTTACATAGGTGATACACATTAAAGTGGTTATAACGCATAAAATGATCAGCTGAATATACAGTTGTAGAAGGCTGTAAAAAGCAACTGTACTTCATCTGCTCAGCAGGAACCAGCAGACAGACTCCATTAGACGAGCTGGTGAACATTGTGGAGCATTTAGCAGCTAAAGAGACAGATATTTACCTAAAGAGGAGACCAAAAACGGAGCTGAAAGACAAAAACATTGGGCTTAAATTGACATAATTGACTTTAAATCATTTTCTTTAAACAAAACTGGGAAATCTTTGATGCATTTCCTTGAGTCCAACTTCAAAATACCTTTCCTTTTTTGATTTTCTGACAGATATCACCTTTGACTAATTATCTTGTGTTTTTTTTCTGTTTTTTTATAGACCAAACCGATTCATTAATTGAGAAAATAATCACTTAAATGAGACTATATGATGGAGCTGCTGCTGTCTTTATTAGGAATGCAACGATACTTCACAAGGCAGTAAATCTGCGATGCAAATACGTGACGATTCAAAAGAGGGCGATAAATAAATTTGCGATACTCTTTTTGAGCAGCAGAGAACAAAAAACATGTCAATTCAAAGCTAGAAATGTTCTTAATTTGCATTATTCATTCACTAATTTGATTTGGGATTTTGGGCTGCACGGTGGTGTAGTGGCTAGCACTGTCACCTCACAGCAAGAGGGGCCCGAGTTCGATCGCCGATCCGGGTGGTCCTTCTGTGTGGAGTTTGCACGTTCTCCCGGTAGCAGCGTGGGTTCCCTCCCACAGTCCAAAGACATGCAGCTTAGGTTATTTGGAGACTCAAAATTGCCCGTAGGAGTAAATATGAGCGTGAATGTTTGTCTGTCTCTACATGTGCCCTGCGATAAACTGGCAACCTGTCCAGGTGTACCCTGCCTTCGCCCAATGTCGGCTGGGATCGACTCCAAAATATATTTTGTAGATTTTTTTGCCTGAAAAATAATGGAATAATGTTTCCCGGCCTATTTTGTCTTCAAACTCCTTTTGTTAAAAAAATAAATTGTGAGGAAAAACCTTGTGAATTATATGTAATTGAGATGAGTTTACCGTTTGTCTTTAATCTTTAGTTATATTAAATAATCTGACTCACTGTTTCTTTCTCCTTTTCTCCCCAAAATGTCTCTCCGTTCTGCCCCTCCCCCATTTACTATACTTTCATTTCTACTACCTCCTTTGTAACCTTTCCTCCCTCCTAAACCTCTCGTGTGATCTTTCCTTCACTCAGGTCTATCCCTCAAACCTCTCTCTGCTTCAGCCCTAAACCGCTCTGACCCTTCACAAGTCTGTCCTTCCTCGCCTCCTCCCACCTTTCCTCCATCTCACTTTTCCTCAGAACTTCCTCTTTCGTCGCCATCTCCCACCCTCCGTCCAAGCTGTTCTGTCGTTTCCACGGTAACAGAGGACCGCTCAGAAGACGAGGGAAATCTGCTCCGACAACGACACGCCGTGTGTGTGTGTGTGTGTGTCGACTTCACAAGGAAAAATAGAGAAAATATACAAACCAGGTGGATGATGGTTAATGAATGAACTATTGTCAAAATAAATGCATGAGCCACTAGTTACACTTTAAAACTAACTCAATATAATCAGACATGAATGCAAATACACTTCTGAATAATAATAAATAATACACAAAACACATGTTTAAACACAGTGACCACTTTGAACAGTAGCTTTAATAATCCTACAAATAATAAAAACACTGAATATATAGAAAGAATATACAATCCAAGTGGAATAAATATATTACAATTATATATTTTATATATCAACACTTTTTTTTTTCTTAAACTATTGGTAGGACGTCACAACAACTAATGGTTCATCTGGCACACTCAACACCTGCATGAGAAAACAACTAAAATTTATTTTACAACAATCTGATTTCACTCAGATTAGATGAGCATGCTGTCATGATGCTAGCATGTTCACCATCTCCGTTAGGGCCGCTAGCATGCTAATGTTTGCTAATTAGCTTTAATCAAAATATGGGATTGCAAACAGTAGCATGTAGTTATTGTGCAAGAACTAGTTGCTTTAAATTGCTTTCAGAATGTAGAAGACAGGTTTTATCTAAACAGTTTCTTGTAATATTGTGTCTTTTAAAAGCCCCTGGATACTTGGTTTTTAATCTTATTTTGTTCTCCATAACTTTGACACCACCGACGAGTCGGGAGTAAGAACACTGCTTTAATTCAGACTACGACGCTCCACTCACCACTCTAGCGTCCGTGTTGGACACGCCAGGAAGTGATGACGGGATTAAAGGACGAAGTCAGGTGATTTACAATAAAGTTGGAGTTCGGGGAGGATGGATGGCTCAAACAAACAGGACTTTCACCCAGGAGACCGCGGTTTATGTACGTCTGAAACCAAGTTATTGTGCGTTAAGCTGATTTATTGTAATTTACATACTTTATTCATGCCCGCAACTTAAACTGGGTAACAAACGTACTTATTTCAACCCAAACCAAGATATTTTCCTAAACCTAACCAAGTAGTACACAAACTCTTACATCACACACACACACACACACAAATTATTAAGGGTTAGCCAGTGCATTAACAAGTTACGTTTTCCTACGAAAGTCTTCCATCTTCACAGTTAGGTTAAGTTCGTTGTTTGGGTTGAAATAAGCGCGGAAGTGCCATTACTGAAGTCGGCATGTTGCGTGACAAATAAACCTTATATTCTCATTTCACTCGGGGTTCGAACAGCGGTCTCCTCTGTGAAAGATCCATGTTAGCACCTCCCGCCCTGTGTGAGCTTCAGCGGTCTTTATACTTCGTCTTTCGTGATTACGTGGATATCACACGTAATTTCGTCATTTCGTGGGATGTCTACGAATGAAGACTCATTACTTTTCGTAGGAACAGCTAACGCCGGATGGCACCAGCCTGAAAAGTGCCGCCAAAGAGTCCCGTCCAAGCGTGATGAGTCTGGAGTGAGAACGTATTGCTATCAGAACGATCACAACTGTCAACAGTTTCTTTCAAATGTTGCCGACACCCGATTGATGCACAAAATGACGAACTTTTTTTGGACCAATGTCTGTGTTCATGTTCTCTCCATCGACGATCGCAAGAAGCTGCTTTAAGTTCTTCCCAGGAAAAGAGAACGTGGTACTTTGTTACTACAAAGGTTGTTAAGGGGAATTAAGCTCTTATCACATTCTGCCCTCATCTCCTGTTTAAACTGCCGAGCCACGTGCTTTTATAACCGTAAGACTTCAGATGTGTTGGTGTAATACAGGGTTTGTTTGTATGACTCAAAAGGCTAACTGACTGTCCCAAAACAAGATTATTGTCTTCATCATTTTCTAATTGATGACCACGAATGTTTGAATGAGCTGTTTAGGAAACAATTGAAATAAAAGTGATGGAACTGTAGCTGCACTGCTCAGTGAATGTGTTCAGAAACCTGCTTGTGTCACGGCTCCTTCTTCTGCAACATGTGTCGCATGAGTAACGCTATTGAAGCTCTAGCAGGGTTGGGTGTGTGTGTGTGTGTGTGTGTGTGTGTGTGTGTGTGTATTACACGCTACAGCAGCTGTCCAGTTTATAAAAAGGTTACACAAACACTTTCAGCGCGGCTGAGGCGGATGATGTCATTAGTTCTGCAGGTTTTTGTACTGGACCCGATGACGCCGCTGGATGAAAAAGAGGATCAGTTATTACAGTTCATCCTGAGGGGACCATGAACGATGAAACCACATTTCATCACAATCCATCCAATAGCTGTTGATGCATTTCAGAACCACAACCTCGGAACCCATCGGTCTGAGGTCGATTTAGCCTCTTGGGGGGGGGGGGCCAATATTTTGGAGTTTCTGTATACTCGGCAGAATAATGTATAACGGATGTCTGGGCCAAGACTTTCTCTGCCTGTCACTGTTTAAAATCAGATTAGCAACTGGGGATGCAAGAACGGAGTTGAGGGACGACGTCTACGACGTAGCCAGTAGGCACTCCACACCGGTACCCTTAAAAAAGTGAACCCGAAATCCATTAGAGTTCATTGTTCGATACCCGTCATGGGTGTGAGTCCACTGTTCGTTCCTCTTGTAACACGAGGAGCCAAAGTTGACTTATTTGTCACCCAACAGCTACCAGATGCAACATGTTTTTAAACTTTAAAAACACAGTTAATGTTATTAGTCCGAGTGTAAAACCCTCCCTCAGTGTCCAGTCACATCTGATCTCACTGCAGCTTATTTACACCAACTCCATGCTTGAGAGCTTTTCTGGGTTCGCTCCATAAATGTGACGGCAGACGTGATTTTTAGTGAGAACACAACATGTGTTTTCCTGGCAGGGACCCGCTCCTCCCCCTTGTACCAGTGCATTCTGGGTAGAAAAGCATCAATTTAAACACAATGTACAGAGTTACTGGTCTTTAACCACAGTTAGTCAGTTCAGACAGTTAACAGTTTTCTGCAACCAAGTACATTTAGTCAAGTACTGTACTTCAGTACAGTTTTGAGGTACTTTATACTTGTACATCACTATATATCAAAGGTAAATATTGTATTTTTTACTGCAATGCATTTATCCGACTGTAGTTGCAGATTTCACGTTAAAATAAATTGATTATTGGTTGGACGTCTCAGAGTTTCCCAAACTGCTCAGATAAGACGTAACAAAGAACAAAGTACTTTTAATACCTTAATTACATTATTATTGACCTAAATACTTTCTTGCACCACTGCCTCTGTTACTGAGGTGGCCCCTCACATGTGAACCAGAAATAGATCAAAATAAAGTCACCGCAGTGAATAAAAGAGTACTCGTCTTTCCCTCACGTTGCATCACCGCCATCATCTTTGTATTCATCCGTCTCATCAAGAAGCCCTTTAAAAAGTCTGTTATTAGACTTGTTATTATAAGACGTGTATTTATACACCAGGCTCTACAGGAAGCAGCACTACCGTCACTGTAACAAGGAGAGGACAGACAGCAGGTCACATGTGAACACACGACTCTGAAGTGTTGTTCTCTGCTGACAAAAGCCATGTTTAATACATGCAAATCCTCCGTGAGGCTCCGGTTCTCACTCTGAGAAATTAGGGTTCAGAACCCAGAACCTTCTGAAGAACATGTTTTTGAATACAGAGTTTCTCAAGGCTTCTTTGTAAGACTAATGGTTCCATTAAGAAAACATTTTAATCCAAAGAACCCTTCAAGTTCTTCAAGGATTGTTGAAAGTACGCGTGTTAAAAGGGAACGCCCAGAATCCAGAACACACCCTCTCAAAACACTGATTGTGAACAATGTGGGTTCTACTGCATCACATCGGCCCAGAACCTTAAGAACTCTAGATGAAACCCTTGGAATAGAAAAGGGTTCTTGTTAGCACCCTTAGAAGGTGGAAAGGATACGGATAGAACCAATGGGAAGTTCTGGGTGTAACCACTACACCATAATTTAATTTAATTCTAAATATGTATTAGTCCTATTGTCTTAACTGAAGGACTTTGCGAGTGTCACGCCTCAGGTCTTACTACGCATTGAGGAACAATCCTCCCGGCTCAGAGGGATCAGCAGTGATCGCACGGAGCAATAAAACTCGCAGCAGGCAGGAACACAACATCCCCAGAGCCCCGGCCTCTCGTGGTCCAAAGCTGCTAAGCTAATTATCCTCGGTCTCAAATCTAATCTGTGCATGGGCCGCGAGCTGCTTCTGATGTCTTTCAGCCTCGAGGTAATGGACAATAATTAGCACCATTGATTTTCTACACTGTGGAGGGGGGAGAGAGCTGATAATAGTCCCTGATGTGAGGGGAGGGAAGCACGATGGACACATGAAACCACTGCAAAGACCACCGGTAGAATACATCAGTGACGACAGAGGACGAGTGGTACAGAGACAGGAAGAAGACTAAACAAACAGTTGAACACATTAGACCCACTGCAAAGACCACCGGTAGAATACATCAGTGACGACACAGAGGACGAGTGGTGGAGGAACGCTGATACAGAGACGGGAAAGGAAGGATGAAGAGGAGGACGAAGCTACTGTGAGATTTTAATCATCCATAAAATGTTTGTTAAAAAAAAAAAAAAAAAAAAAAAAACACCTGGTGCTTTTCTGACAAAACGTTGGATTTAATGCGGCAAGAAGAAGAGACGGAGGAGCTGCCACATCACTGTGACGTACATAAAGAAAAATGTGTCCAAGAGATCCTGTAGAAGATGTTTTTAATCGCAGTGGAAAATAGTCCCAAACACCATCACTTTCATTTTTTTAACATGAAATTTGTTCTTTAAGATCTTCTGTAGGAACCAATCGGCTTTGAGCGGCCACAGACAGGAAGTCACACGGTATTGAGAGACTGTTGGTTTAATTATCAAAGACATAAATGTAAAACACCTCATCCTTTGAAATCCTGTCCTGACCAAACGTAATGTATAGAAATGATTTATACAATATGTCACGACACAAAGCTTTCTATTTCTGCCTCTGGCTTCAAGTTGCATCATGTGTTGGGACCTCTGTACACCTGCAAGTCTAAATGAAACTCCACATTTGTGAGCAGTGTTCCGAGTTGTTTTCGGGGATGCGGGGGGGGGGGGGGATTACTGTGCACATGTGCCCGCCTACGTGCAACAATACCATATCAATAAATTTCAATTCATACGGTGAATCATTCGTCCTGCAACGAAGAATATACAAAGTCTGCATGTCGTCCCTTTTCTTTTTATAAATAACAAACTGGGCCGAGGCTGCATCCCATAATAATTATGAACCCACAGCCTCAAATGTTGGTCTTACAGAAAACGCATACTGCTGCTTTGCTTGCCCACGCAAAGCTGCACGATAGAAACGCGTCACGGTGCAAATCATACATCAAACTGTGTCAACGCCCGACGAACACTGGAGGACCTCAATAATACGCCAACCGATTTATTAATAGCCTGTTATTTATTTCAGGAACATAAATATATCTGGAAAATATCAACACAGTATCACAGCTGTTCGTGAAGTAGTCATGAAATGCAATCTATTGATTTCTTGTATTGAATTGTCCCTCGGCACGACTTTTTAAAAGTCCAAAACCCGACAGTCGGGTTTCGGCAACAAAAACCAACAGTACCCTGTAGACAAAACCAACAGATTGTATTTCGGGGCTTTTTCACGATACTGGGCTAAAAATATAACAAAAAGATTCTGCTATTCTAAAACACCTTCTTAGTCATGAGAGCAACACGTCTCATGACTTGAACCGGACACTAACCAGTGCAGAGCTGCACAGCTGAATGCAGCTCCAGCTAAACCTGGAAGATTGCATCTCTGATTTATTACATGCAAACACTTCAACACCCACGAGTGGCCCAAACCTATTAGTAAAGCCGGCTGCATTAGGACGTGAAATTAGTTCAACACAGACCTGGAGGCTGTTTCAGAGGACGAGCGCTCGTCTCCCATTCAATTAATCAGCGAGCAGCGCGGCGGCACAGAAAGAAGCCAAACAAGTCCACAACCACAGATATGTTGCTCTGCGTGGATTTACTACATGCAGTTAATTAAAGCACATTTAGAAGGGTAAGAATGTGCTTTCGTATTCTTCCCAAAACGTCTATTCAACAGTTACTGTACACGGAAGTGTCCGAGGCTCCCTCCAACGATGCTCATTAAATATGCACAGAAAGAAAAGATCACGCATGTGAAATCAAAATGAGCCTCAGTATGCATTTATGTATGTGCGTGCGTGCGGGGTGTATACATATAAATCTATACACGGTCGCAGTTTGTGACCGTTTCAGACAGTAAAAAGTACAATATGTACCTTTGAGATGTAGTACAGTAAAAAGTACAATATATACCTCTGATATATAGAAATACACAAGTACAAGTGCCTCAAACTTGTACTTAAGTACAGAACCTGAGTAGATGTACCACCACTGACTACATGTTCGCGTCATATGATGTACTGTTTGAGTATAAGAAGATAAAGGAATGTATTGTGGAGACATCGGGCAGATGAAAAGGTTTTGAGCAGCGTGGACTTCAGGTGGATCAGAACGTCGATACCATCAACACAGCGCTGACGTACTCTCACTGGTCAATGAACACCATTACGTGTGGATGTTATAATGGGAGCAATAAGGTGCAGGACAGACCAAAGAAGAGTCCTTGATGGAATTCCATCACAGCCCGCAGTGATTAGACCGCTGGACTAATGTCTGCACAAGATGTTCTCTGTGAGCTTCTGAGGTCAATTACATGAAGCCTCATGCTTTTATCTCTCGGACCCCATAAACCGATGCTTCCCTTCATTTCCCCCTTAAGTACCGAGAAAGAAAATCATCGTGAACGATGTCATATAGAAAGTACTCCGTGTCCACTGGTTCCAGCACTTTTGTTGAAGGGGTATCCGAGTATCTAGATGTTTTTATACGATCATTTCAACGTATAGTTGGTCTCGCAATAATATTTTTTGGGGGTTGAAGATGTTAAAATGTTATTTACCTTTAAATGTTTCAGTGAGAAACACTGGCTGATATCAACTCCTCTGAAATTGTATTTTTAAATTGTATGTCTCATTGAAAGTTTTGCCTCAAATAAACCATTTACTCAAAACAGATTCTGTGAAAAACATGAATGGGATGTTAAGCAATGATTGACTTGGGGTTCAGAGGTTAAAGGAAC